GATCATGGATCCACAGTCTCGCCCCTAAATTTCATTTGGCAACATTCTCCCATTTTGGATTTTATATTTTTTTGGGGTCTTTTAATTTTGCATTTTTCTTAAAAAATGGTTAAATACATATACACTGCCGGAACAAAGTATTGGCACAGCAAATTTTTCACAATATATGCAACAATTTTCATTCTAATATTTTTCCGCTAATGTCGTATAAAAATATGGTTCATTCTACAACAAGAAACATAAAAATATAACTCCTAAACTTTGTGCAAAGCTCGCGAAAATTCAGCAAAAGTATGCAGTTTTGCAGCCCATTAAATTCTAGTAAAAAAATGCAAGTTCGGAGTTAGTCAAAAATCGCGTTGTTTTTTGAGAATTTTTTGTTGAAGGTGTTTTGCATTATATCCATATAAAGTATTTTCGAAAAAATTTTGTATGGAAGAGACTGCGTGAAAAAAATTGCCAAAAATCAACGGTAATTCCTACTACCAACTACTTAAACCTTGCATTTTATTATTATTGAATTGTTGGGCTACAAATCTGCATACTCAAAAAAATTCTACAAAATCTGATTAAAAAGTTGAAAATTTTTATGAAAATTTGCTGAATTTTCGCGAGCTTTGCACAAAGTTGAGGAGTTATATTTTTATGTTTCTTGTTGTACAATTAACCATATTTTTATACGAAATTAGCGGAAACATATTAGAATGAAAATTGTTGCATATATTGCGAAAAATTTGCTGTGTCAATACTTTGTTCCGGCAGTGTACATATGTAGAGAATTTAATTTTCCACATTTGTTAAGTATGTTGGTTTTTTAAAAATTGCATTTTTTATTGTAAAAAATTAGCAAAAACTACGAAAAAATTTTACATTGTCATCGTTTTCACCACTTTTTGACAATTTCTGTTGAAAATACATAGCCTATTGAAATTCCAAGGTTGTAGAGAATTTCATTCTCCAAAACTTTTGTGCCTACCTTTTTTTGTACGACGCTTAGATCACGGTCGGGAATGCGGTAAGCTTAGCAATGTACGGGATGCGCCGTAAAACTCATTGCCACACCAGCGCTGAGGTAGAGTTTTTCGCCGCGTTTTTTTTTTAACGTGGTTTCTCCAGTAGGCCCAATCCACGGGCAACGTTTTTTTTTTTTAATGAAAGCAGGTGATGGTGTGGAAATGAAGTTAACGGCGCATCCCATACATCGCTATGTGTATCGCGTTCCCGGCCGTGATCTAAGCGTCGTACAAAAAAAATGTTGGCACAAAAGTTTTGGAGAATGAAATTCTCTACAACCTTGGAATTTCAATATGCTATGTATTTTCAACAGAAATTGTCAAAACTGGCGAAAACCGTGACAATGTAAAATTATTCAAGGTTTTTGCTAATTTTTTACAATAAAAAATGTTATTTTTAAAAAACCTTCTATATGACAAGTGTGGGAAATTAAATTCTCTACATATTTGTATTTAACCATTTTTTATGAAAAATGCAAAATCAACTTGCAAATCGAAAAAACCCAAAAAAAAATAATAAAATCCAAGATGGGGGAATGTTGCCAAATGAAATTTAGGGGCGAGACTGTGGATCCATGATC